CCTGACTATCTATAGCGTTCAACCACTTCACTAGAGACTGTGTTCGGCCGCCAGCCTTTTTCCAATCGCGACCGCCGCTGCGGTACGCCCAAACCGCCCTATAATTTCCCGTCAGGCCGCGCCGTGCCGGCATGGTTCCGATGACGTCATAGGACCACAAGGCCTCGTTCCGCGGTTCGAGTCTGCTGTCGATATAATGACAGGAAGCGCCGCGCCGCGCACCGGTCTGTCTCAGTCAGTAATGAATGCCAATGGAATCGTGTCAAATGCCGATGGAGTTTAATCCCGGTCGGGGCTACAATTACGACCACGTTCTGGTCGGCTGTGTCGCAAATGGATCTATTGGTACGGAAATGATCTAGATGTCATTATTCCGCAACCGGAGTAATAATGTCCCAGCTGTGAATAATTAAAGTGTCATTCCAGATTATTGACTTTCAATGCTATTACGAAAATAGACGTCTCTTTCAGTGGTTGTTACCTACCGCATGAAATCGTATTTGGCTATTTGCACTTTGATTCAGACAATAGTTCAGACCAGATGAATGGATAACATTTCCAATGTCAGTGTGTTTTTGCCATTGGTATCGTTATCGTTAGTGCATTAGTGCTATCGTTAGTGCATTATACGGGTGTCGATGCATTTGCATTCATGATTGATCTGGTTATACGCGAGCTAATAAGTGGCGGGGCACATGTTCATTACCAGGACATGCGGATGGTATATGTAATGAGGTAATATCCATCGCGGATCAATAGAGGCGCAAAAGGACGGCAACAGGAAATGACAGCGCTATACGGCCGACAGACAGACTGACCGACCGACCGACGGGCCGAATTATACCACCTGACCAGTTCTCAACACGAACTGCCCTCGTTTGTTACTAAGCTCTCCAATAATAGTGGACTGGTGGCGATGGAACTCAGGAAGGTACAGTTGTGTAGGCCATTGGCTGCTCATGTCGTTAGTTGATAGGCTATAAGATGACCAAATGAATTTATCGGAGATGCCCGTAACACCCGTTTAAACAAGAATGGAAGAAACTCCGCTGACCAGTAGCCACCAATATGTAGTAAGACACTCAAAACTCCACCTCCCGCTGAAGAGGTGGCCCTTCAGGTCGACGTTCACCTGTCCCTCCACCTCTCTGAGGACAGTAGGACCTCCTGACCTCGTTCAGGAAAGGAGCGGCCCGTCTCCAAACCTCCTCCCATGAGCCAACCGCCTGCGTTCCGCCGCCATCGACATGACTCAGCTTCGGTCGATGATGTTTGGCCACCGCTCTCCACTCGTTGCTCGCCGCCCGGGCCTGTCTGAAGAGCTGTTCTGGCCGTGATTCGCCGCAGTTTACCGAGAGCTCGAGAGAGACTGAGCGGCGAAGGTCGTGTCAAGAGTGGAGATGGTCCGAGAGGATGAGAGGAAGGCGGCGGGGGAGTGCCAGAGCGTGGTGAGAGGTGATGTAGAAAGTGATGACTCGTAGCTTCAGTGGAAGTGCTTGTTGAATGCATTCTCACATATGTATGGTAGATATCTTGGTGAGCATTGACTGTGTGATTCACCAAAATTTTATTTATTTGCGATGGTTACAAATGTTTGTAGGTATGTGATAAAGCATTCCTTGATGTCTCATCGCTCATCAGTCGTTGAGTCATGGGATTCAGAACTTGCAGGAACGCTTGTTATCCTAAACTAAACCCGTGGTATCTCCTAAACAAACAACTGTTGCACTTAGGAATGAGAAATTGTTTAATGTGCACTCTGCAACTCTCGCATCGTTATAAACAAGACAGCCATGACACTATCGAACTATTCACAAATCATGGAGTCAACATTTGCTAGCACTTAACCGGCGCCTCAACTCCATCCTTGGTGTCAGTTTCTGTTGACTTCCCCGTCTCGCCGTGTCCTGCAAGAATTGCCGTCTATAAATTATGCAAAATAAACGTCATTCTGAGCACATGTTGTAACACATGTGCTCAAGATGAGTGTGGGGGAGGGAAGGACAGAGGGAGGAGAGGAGCGCGCCTCTCGGCAGAGGGGGACGCACAAACACCTCTCGTCTCGTTCGGCCGTCGATCGGTGCGTGTCTGTGGACATCTTCAGCGCGTGATCTATGTCCGAGATAGCATACAATGGGGGTGAAAGCGCGCCGGCGTGCGGGCGTGGGAGGTGCGCTGGTTTTTGTTGCCGGCGCGCCAGGTTCGAGGCGGGCAGGCGCCGCTGCGCGCGCAGCCAGTGCCGCTTCTTGTGCAACGCAGGCAAGCCGGACGGCCGGCCGGCGAAACATGTGAATCCACTTTAGAGATCAGATAAGCTGTTTCTTGTTTAGTGTCAGTCTCGTTCGCTCGACGCACAGAAGCCGGGCGATAAGTGTCTTTTGTTTTCGATAATGTGTTTTGCTGAAGAGCTCGTTGTATTTTGAATGGAAAGTTGATTGTATGATGGCAGGCAGCTCGTTATGGAAATGAGAGCGATAAATTATCGGAATGCGTCTCCTAAGACACATATAGCCATATAGCCATATAGTCTAAGACACATACTTGTCTGCCTAGCGAGTAGCGGGCAATAAGTGTTCTTAGTTAAGCAATGAATGACTCAAAATAAAATACATATTTGATTACATATTGAACCCATCACCCATGCTTTCTTTGACACTGAAGACGCACATGTCATTGTATGTTTGCCGGGAAGGCGACTATCTTTATGATGAAAATTGCTTCGCAGAGACCAACGATGCGAGCGTGTTTTTGTTACAACCAGCAAATTGGGATTTATGCATTGACTTCCATCCGCCCGCTAACAGCGCCTTCAAATTTATCTACAGGAAGAAATTGCAGTTCAGCTGTTTTGGTGCTCGTTATTTAGTCAACAGAAAACTAATCTCTTCAGGTGTGGTAAGTTTCGCCACATAACTCGTCTAGAATCGCGAGCAGTACTATCGTTTGTAAGAGAACAGCTCATTCAGGAACTTTCTTTTGTGGAACATTCAAGTTATCGAGTGAGTGCACTTGAATGATCGCGCCGAATTAAATTCAGAAGCAGACCTGCTCCGTTCGTCACTGAAGCTTGCATCAGCAGCGCCGTTAGCGACAATAATTGTTGCAGTATTATAGAAGATAAAAAACACCGATATCCTGCGTTCATATCAATTCGTCAAAAATGTTTGTGTCAAATCTAAAAACCGAAATGGATCAGAATATAAAATTTAATAATACATTAAGTACAATTTTACCTCAAATGCAACATGTCAAAACGAAGCGTCGTGAGATGATAGGGGCTCAGCATATGCTTTACTCAATATTATCAAAACCACAAGCTACAAAGACATGTTTCCTAATCGGATTGAAATTGTCTGAAGACGAAGGCAGAGCTGTTTTAATCCCAATTCACACAATTCGCGACAAGACGACTCTTGGACATAAACTTTATTTTATTCTCTAATCTCTTCCGTGTGGTTGTGGCAATGTTGGTTATATACATATACCGGCTAAACACCAATATCCAACGCCGGCTTCTCTTCTGAGAACTTATGTAGGGACGCCATTCCGAGGAAAACTGGTCGGCACCAAAGATAACGCTGAACGGATGGCTCGGATTATTACCGGCATACATCACTCAGCTTATGACTTACTATGGCCGTACTAATATCCTTAAGGGTGGTCGGCCGACGCTGGACGACCGCAAGTATTTGCTATTCATGACCTTCGTCTGGTTGGCTCCCATTGAGTCATGGCCCGGACCAACATCTCGTTGGCTTTCTCATGCGGGCGACCGCTGAGCCGCCGCTGCCAGCGACAAGACATGGCTGTGGATCCGTCGCCATCCACAGCCATGGATCAGCCAGCCACGGATGTGGTTCCGCCCGGCATCAACGGCTGTAGATCCTCCGCATGCCACGGTCATGGACTGTGGAGTTGACACCGACCACGCCGTGGATCCCCCACCAAACATGCAGCTGTGGATCCCTCGCCAGTCACAGCTCTTGGATCCAGCGCTGGTCGCAGTCGTGGATCCGCTGTCAGCAAATAAAGGATCCGGCCCTGAAAACGGCTGTGTATCCGCCGCTAGTCGTGGCCGTGAATCCTCTCAGCCACGGCCGTGAATTCGTGGCCTCGGCCGCGGATCGTCCGCTGGCTCGGCCCGGCCGGTTAGCGCCCTCAGCTCGCTCGTTTGATATTCCGAGAGGGCCCGTACTTCTCGGGATAACAATGTCTCCAGCAGTCTCGGTGTCATATCCATAGACTAGGGTCGCCATAGCTCACGGTTAGAGAGGCCGTTCTGCACCGCAGCGCCGTATTTATGAACCCATCATACTGTCTCGGCTCCTCCGTCTGCCTCCCAGCCCCTGGTGACGAGCGGCAGCTCTCGGAATACCCTGCGGCGCAGGAGGGACGCGGAGGGCGGCTGCGACGGAGGGCAGTGATGTTTGCACGCGACGACCCAGTCCCCTGCAGTTCGTCCCTGCACCGCTGTCTGACGGCCTGAGAGTGACTTATGGCAGTGGTCGGACCGGATCGTATCTCCGGCCGGGTCTCATTCATGTCAGCACGGAGAGTGAATCTGTCAGTCCCCTGAACACCCCAGTGTGAGTTTGTGAGACGTCGTAGGTCGCTTGTCTGTCAGCCGGGTGCGGTTATGTCGGAGCCAGCCACGCCGTATTTCGTGACAGCAGAGACTCCTCGTAAAAAGTTCGCTGGACAATGAATCCGTTGTCGTGTTTGCAGTAGCTAGCAACAGAGCAAGGGTGGCGTATACCTACCAAATATGAACATGGGTATCGCATGTCTTAGAAATGTAATAAATTTCACCATGCCATAACATTGGTACGGTTTATATGGTATGGTTTCTCAACGTATTTGCTATACCAAAAGAAAGGCAAAATGCTGCAGCCATGCAAGTGGCTATTGGATCACTGCCTTGCTAGCCGTTTTTCGATGACATAACTCCTAAACTATCGCCTCACCCGAAGTCACACAGCACCCAGCATTCAACGAGGCCGCATGTGACGAGTGTGTATTATCGGGACGTGCGAACAGCTCTGTGCGCCGGGCGGCGGCGTCCCGGCCGGGACCGACCTGCGAGTGGGGGCCGGCTATCACAGCCTGGGTACATCGGTCAATCAGTCTGACTAGAGATGGAGGCGGGACAGACGCGTGCGACGACCACACACAAACGCGGAGACATCGGCACGCGCGCGAGACGGCCGGTGGAACCGGTTCACGAACAGCGCCTGGGCGGGCACGGGAGACATCGCAGCTCTGGGGGAGGCGGGGCGGGGAGCGCAGCTGCTGCACGACAGGAGAACTTGATGCATTTGACGGCATTATTGGGAATTTTGACTTACAGGCATGTAAAATATGACACTGAATATGATGCATCATTCGGAACTGCGAATATTAAAATTAGACAATCATAATGCCTATGTTTCTAGACACGTAAGAGCACATGCCGATATATGCCCTTCATAAATGTGGTAATAATTTCATAATTACGAATAGCCACAGCTTCGGTAGACAAAAACGGACCATCCAGAGTAGATACATGTCTCCCGTACACCTCCCAGGCTTTAACGAACATCTAAAATAAATCGTATAAAAGTGCAAACACCAAGCTGTCTTTGCCGCGCGGGTAGTCGCTTTATGGAGCTTGATACGCAACAAATTAACGCTAAATCACAAAATGATACATGCACATATCTCACCATTAGCGCTCTCAAACAAATTCATAGTGTTAATAGCCTATCACTGGTGTGCGCACCGCTCCACGCCACCGAGTCACTGAGAACTCCGTCAACGGTTCCAGCAGTCTGCGCCTTATCAGCGCGTTTGATTATTTTCACTCAGCGCCTCCCATCAGCGCTAATGAGTCCACTGAGAGGGTGGGCAGTAGCGGCCGGTGTCATCGCCCGCCGGGTGGCCCGCGCCCGCCGCCGTGTACCCCCTGTCCGGACTCCTGAGTCCGGGCGTCCGCGGGTAGCCCCACTCGTGTCCAGGCATCTCCACGGCTCCTCCACCGCCGAATGAACTCAGCTTATGTCTCTGTCGGTGAGAACCACTGCGATCGCCACTGTACGGATCAACGAACGGGTCGAGCGCGATCCGATTGGCTAGCGGCGTCACGTGGCCATGGTCACGTGCTCTCGTTGACCTTGGATCGCCGGCGGCTACATCCGGCTGGCAATAGAGCGGGCCGCCGACGCCGCGACTTGACGGCCGCCGCTCGTCGTATGGAGCTCGGTACGCCCCGCTGATATCGTCACTACCAACACCGCTGCCGTTACCGCCGGGCGAATCCCGCGCGAGGATGTCCGAGTAATAGTAAGGGTCCTTTCTGTGCAGCGACGCGTCTCGTCGTATACTGGGCCGCGTCGCCGCGGGACTGGCAGGGGACCGTCGCCGCCGGTCGGCGCTGCGCGGCCGCGGCTGGCTGCTGTGGTAGCGGGGCTGACCGCCAGCCGGGCCCGAGGGGAGCGTCCTGACGTAGCGCGGCTCGGCGGTGGGTAGGTAGGAGGGTCGCGGGACACCTCCGCCTCCGTCGACACCCAGCTCCTCCTCCGACGGCCGACTGATGATGTCCTCCTCAGAGTCGGAGTAGTAAGGCTCCGATGGCACCCGGCGACCTGGTGGACAGAGAGGAATCACGTTATAAAGTAGCTCAGCACTGAACAAAAGCCCACCTACGCTTTGGTGAATGGTGATCTTTGAGCCAAAATGCACATGCCTCGTCGTTTAGAGATCAAGATGGAGTGAGTGTAAGAGCAGAACATATGGCCAGACAAGATAAAGTACCCGGCTTGGGTCCTACATTCTGTTCGGAGTGCATTGTTGAACTATTGTTGGATGTGTGATGTCCTAAAACAATCACGATCAATCATTTTTTTTTTTTGTAACTTCAGCTAGCGTAGTACCAACACCTGGGTTAGCATGCTGCATTTCCATAGCCCTATATAACTAAACAGATCCACTGTGAAATCAGAGCACAAAGCAGCAATATTTGCGATCATTGTGCGATTTATCATGGGCCATTGGTCTTCAAGCACACAGATCGTAAACAATCGTAACTGCTTCGGGCCATCTGAGCACCGTTTAACAGACTGGCAATAAAACTGTTGGCACGACAAAATTATGGCGACGTTTTTGAGCGTCCGATGAAACCCGATCCATTGTGAAACTTTACCCATTCGAGCCGAGGCAACCGTCTGGCAGAACCGCGAGATAAAATCGGCGAATTGCAAATGTCCAAATAGACCTACAACCTACCCTATAGCCTAAAACAGACGCCGTCTCCCGTCTCGCCCCCGTCTTTATTGTGTCGCCGGCCAGCATGCGAAGCCGAAATCTGTTCCCCTCTCGGTTACGTACCGTAGTAAGGGATCTCTTCGTACATGTTTGACAGCGGCTCTGAGCCGTCATCGGTAAGCGACGGAGGTGGAGGACTGACAAACAGCGCACCCACACCGCCCCTGCTGCCGGGCAGGAGCTGGGCGCACTGGCCCTTCACAGCCACCATCTGAAACACAGAGGAACGTGGGGGTTAGCACAGCAGAGCGGGATTTACTGCGATAACAGAAACAGGGCTGGGCGTGGGTACCACAGACACAGTGGGGTTTCGCTGTCACTCGCTGAAACAGAGTTGGGCGTGTACCAGGGGGAATGTAGCACAGGACTGCAGTGTAGCGCAGAACATCGGGAACTGCATATGGAATCACGGTGGGCCTTTACAGACATCAACTTAAAAACGGGTGCGCCATGGCAGCTCAGTTATTCAGCGTGGCATTTAAAACAACGGGTTCAGTGAAGACAGCATTTTACAAGCCTTCAGTGTTTTTTACAGGTACTATTTCAGAAATCAAAACGGTAAAATCAGTTACCGCAGAAAGACATGTCGTACATTTGCAGAAACATCGAGCGTTTAGGTCTCATTGCAATCAAGTCTGTTCGTATTGAAATCCATAAGGCTTCGTCTGTAGTGGTGTACCTGCTCTGGTTTCATTGCACCTAAATGCTATTTTCTGGAAAGCCATAATCATTTTCCACCGCCTCAGTGAACGGAATCGGGATAATGGTTGCTCCAACTTTGAAATGGTTCTCGCAGGTTGGCGGTGCAGTTCGAGCAATAGCAGTCGGCTGGTTAAATTTTAATTACGGCACAATGCAGTTGGCACTCGAATCGCTTCGCCAAAGTTGGTGCAATAAGCGCGTGCAATTACACCCAACTCCGAGCAGCTATTGTTTCGCCCCCCAATGAGTTAAATGCTGCGCTTTGGGGCAGAGTCCTCAGAATGACGACGTTTCTAGCTGCAGAAGAGGAGGCCGGTGATGGAACTGATCATCTCTTTGTCGTGGTGCGAGATGGCACCCCCACACCCTGTCGCAGGGTCGTGTGGAGAAGAGTTTCCATTTGGGCCCGGCTTTTAGGAGGGATCAGCTGAAGAGCGGCACACGCACGACTCATAATGACTTGGAGCAGAAGCTTAAAACTTTTCCGCCTCTTCAATTAAGGCACATTCATGAAACTGCACGATCCTATAATGGCTTTCGGCTTACAAAGGAAACGTATTAAAACTGAAAAGGGTTGTTGCGAGAAGCTATTGGACTGGCGTTTCTCCGCTACTTTGAGGCCGAAAATGTTTCAGCTCGGTCTAGAATTACAGTTATCAAAGAACTCGCACCACACTATTCCTTCCCCATGGCAGAGAAGCCATCGCTCATCAGGCCAACCTCAAACGTCGGCAGAGGCCATTCAGCTCTGAAATAAAACCTCATCGATTCGCTGCTACGAGCCAACTTGGAAGCATTTATGCCGTGTCTAATTTCGTCCAATCCGACAAATGTCCCGTCCCGTTCCGTTCCGACTCTGTATAGCTGGAGGCCGCGTCGCGGCGCCGTCTGTTCCCCCAGACAGCCTTCATCAGCTCAGACGGACGCCGGCCGGCCGGCTGCACCACTAATTAAAATACGCCAGAGAATGAAACCCAACGAGCCTTGCGACAGTCGCCCCGAGTCCGGGCGGCACACCAGGGCCGGCGGAGAGCAACAAAAAGCCGCCGCCACCGGCTGCAGCGGCACTGTTCACGCATCACGGCCGCTGAATAGCCGCGCACGTGCAGCGTCTGGTCGGGTCTGGATGGCCACTCGGTCCAGCCAGGCAGGACGGCATGGACCCTGCCTGCAGCAACTGGTCCATTTCCGCATGGACGAAACATGCGTCTCAGCTTGGAGATCAGATGTGGGACAGGGGCCTTCTATCGTCTGGGCGGTGCTCTGCAGGACCTCAGAGACGAGAATGGATGGCCAGACGAGTGGGTCGATGGGTCCAATTCTGCTAGTGTACGTATGCAGCTCGCAGGCGGCTTGCCCCATGCTCTTTAGCCAAACTTAAAAGGCATAATGTCAAGGACAGGTGCTGCAAGAATGGATTATATTGATCCGAAATTTTCCCATTGCAACTTTCTTGTGACTTCCCATTGCAACTTTCTTAATAGAGTTGTGGACCAATTACTAGTATTTTAAACATTTTGAATTTTGATTGTTCTAAATACTATTTTCAAATTATAACAGGAATTTATGTTATTTTAAATTATCTAAATCATATTTAATACTATCACTAATTAAGACTCAAAGATAAATAACAAAGTTAAAATGGTTATATTTCACATTTTTTTGCCCCAAAGAACTTATTTTCAGAAGTAAAATGCGTAGAAGTAAATGTGTAAGATCCCTTGACGATTCAATAACGTCGTAGACGAAATCAATTTCACGCCACCGCTGTTGTTGACGTATGTTCTACCTTTTCCTTTCCACATAAACTGCAATGGCTTGATCCGAACAGCTGCCATTTCCTGTTAACCTCGGGAACAAAGCCGGCTACCCCACCAAGATTGATATTCCCAGTGAGCCGAGACAAACAAGCCCGCTGAGTTAAAACAAAACAAAACAATACCGGACCGTCTAACTATAGCCTGTGGTATGGCTGCAATAGCCCGATTTTCCGGCAGTATGTTTCGTTTGGCCGGTGGCGGCGTCGGTAATTCAGCCGGGTCGGTGGCGGCTTGAGCCTGAATCTGGGACTGGGGCGGTGAACCTCTCCCGACTAAACTGCAGCGACGTTTGAAGTCGTGTCGCCCGGAGCGTTCCGGCCCCCGGGCAGCGGGCCGTAACGGGGGTGGTGCTGGCAGTTCAAAGCTGCTTCCGGCGCGGCGGAGAGCGTCACACAACGACAGCTCGAGTGGTGACGCAGAATCCGGGGGGAGAGGAGAGAATGTAGCGGGTTAAACCGAGCGAGAAGAGTGAGTATGTCGGCGAAAACCAAACACGCGGGAGTGTTTTTTGTTGCCGCCGCTATGATGTTGCCGTCTCCCACCAAGTGCTCGGGGGCAAGGCCGGACGCTCCAGGATTAGCTCGCAAAGCTGTTTTCTGTCCAGTCGTATCTCGACATGTGGCACACTAAATTCGTGTCCGGCGAAAACAAAGTGATTACGCTGAGTCTTGAGGCGGCCAGCGACGCGGCTGGAGTCAGTAAAGCGCGCTGCCAGCTGCGTGTGAACGCCTCCCACGACCGGCACCGCGGGGCGGGGCGGAGTCCGGCGCCGTTCCCAGCGGAAGTGTAGTCGGTTCTCGCCGGAAACCGGCCTCCACACCCGCCGAGTTTGGGCAGGGATGACCCGAACACGGGCTATGACCGGTGGGGAACACCGGGAGGCGTCGGTTGACACTCGGAAACTGTATCGAGTGTGAAGGGAGAACACCAGACGGAAACGCTAAACACAGACGGATATTTCCTCCTTGTGTCGCCCGGGTCCACCGGAAGGATGTTTGATAAAGTGAGTCGCCTGCAATGGAGCGGACGGGCAGACGATAGGGAACAGTGAGCATGAACGATGGATCTCGGAACTCGACTCTCAGTCGCAATGAGTGTAATAAGGATCCCATCTATCATGAACCGGCGGCGGCCGGCGCTCGGGAGGGTCGGTAGCCGTCACTCGCCCGACGCATTGTAATTCCCCGGCACGTAATTGCTCTCCGCTGATGAGTTTATGGCGTGTAATCCGTGCTATCACGAGATAGGTCTGTTTGTCGGAGAGAAATGACGGCACAATGCGCCCACGGCGCATGCGAGCACGTGTGTGAGGTAAACAGGTTATCAGGCCCCTGACGGGAGCACGCCCGACGCCAGTTCAAACACACCCCACCTGGCCAGGTAGCTCCCGGTACTAGGGCAGTAGGTAAACCTGTCCTCTGACATCATCCTTACCTCGATGTGAGGTCCGTGCCCGTTCGACCGCAGGTTGTTGGGGATGACCTGAGTCTGCACAGGTAGGCCGTCGTACAGGAGAGAAGTGTCAGCTCGCTTCCCCGAACCCTTGCTGGAAAGCGAGCCTCGTGACCTCCGTCGGTACCTGTGAAATAAACGGGACATTAACCCTCGCACGACCAGGCCATTTCTCATAACACGAACGACCAGGGGGGGGGGGGGGTTGTTACGACCCCCCCCCCCTGGCGTTTCGAAACGGAAGGTCGTAGAGCTTAGCGGAAAAAACCAACGGATTGCTCTCAACGAGATCTCGCGATTGGTGGTATATTTTTTGGTCCTAGGTCAACATTTGACCTACTTTTGACCGGTCAAAGGTCAAATTTTCGGAAAAAATAGACTTTTTTCAACTTTCGGCGGCGATTGCGGCAAAACGGTGGGGGATATCGACTTGAAACCTTCACTATCGTGTTCCTTGATCAATTCTCTATCGTTTGGTATGTATTTCGTTTCCCTAGCTCTAAAAATGGCGCGTTGGGAGCGCCGGAAGTCGGCAAGGTCACAGTCGGCGGCAGAAATTCGAAAAATAAAAATTTAAATTTTTGAAATCTGATTGTATTTTTGGATTTGGGAGGTTCATTTGCTCCCTATAGAAGCTAATATTGCTGCATATTCCCATTGAGGTGACAAGAATTAGCAAAATAGTGGTTCGGGCGCTTTTCAAAAATAGTACCTTACGCTGTTCCTCTTGTGACGTCATAGCTCCGTGACCTGACCTGACCCGGTCAAATTTCTTATACCATATGATAGCCAATACTTGCCCCAACATGCATGGGAAGTTTCATCACGATCCATCAACCGATGTCCGTACCACCGGCAGGAAACCTCGGGCGTTGGCACTCAGTTTGTGAAAATCCGGCCGGAGGCTGTACCTCTTATGACGTCATAACTCCGTGACCTGACATGACCCGATCAATTTTTTTTCGGCAAAAGATGCGCAAAGGCTGCCCCAGAGGGTATTGAAAATTTCAGCCCGCTACGACAAGCCGTTTAGCGTGCACTTCGAAAAAACCTCAGGGGGGGGGTTGATACAACCCCCCCCCCCTAGGCGTTCTAGGGTTAAGATGTGGAGACATGAAGGGCGTAAACGCTATCACTACGTGATAGCGTTGTGGTTACACCATATTGAAACCATATTGAAATAGCATGGCATCAACGTCTCATGTAGAGAACTCTTCGGGTGGCACAGATATCATCAGCGCAGTTGCCCGCTGATTGAAAGAACGAAATCCAGCACACGTGCCTGGAAGTCTGCCAAAGTATGCATAATGAGAAGTTACGCAAAGCACGTTTGATGTCACGTCAAAATCACTAAAGATCAATTACAAAAGCTTGCGGTTTGAAGCTAAATCTGCATACGAAAATGACATTTAATTGATGTTCGTGGTGGCGCAACAACTTCATTCAGTTCATTCCTCTTCGACTATCGGTCTCTCTCGTCCATTGAGCTGTCGTTCGCCGCTCCCACCGGCGGTCAGGCGAAGCGAAGGCATCGAAAATCAGCAACAACACGTCTGATACACCGACAGAAAAAGAGCCTCGGGCAGGCACGTGTTTACATTTCTCTATTTCTGCCGGCCGGACGCGGCACAGGTGCGCGTTCTGAGCTCATCACCGTCCCCGCCGACCTCGCAGAGAGACAGGTCACCGGAGCGTGCAGGCACGAACCCAATTAGTTCTCAGCTTAACGCCGTGCAAACTGGCCGCGGGTGGATTCGA